TGTACGTCCAATCTAATAATACCTTACAATATCTATTCAAGAATAAAAATAACATAAAGCAGTATAATCAAACTTCAAGAAATCCAGTCATGTCTTATTCAAATAATCTTCTGCTTGAGGAAACTTTTTAAATTCACTCAACTAAAGTGACTAAAGTTTTACATCTTCAGTTTTTACGACTGTGCAGTAAACTGTAAAATGTTCCGCTTTCAGAACTTTACGTTCTTTAATTTTATGAATTTTATTAGGTAGGTTTATTTTTAAATCTTTTTATTTGTATTCTTTTAAACCCATTTCTAGTTGACAAAAAGATGTATTTAAAACTAAAAGAAAAGACGTATCTTAATAATATCGAATGTCAAATGATAAACACTTACGAAATTATTATAAATATTTGCACTCCAAAAAGTATCATACTGAAAATAGTATTTATATATATTATAATATATATTAAATAAAAGGCGTATCTAGAATTATCTAGCTGCATTAAGTTAGACGCTTAACATTTGAAGTCACTTCACTTGTTGATTCTTCAACAGGTTGCAATTTACTTAGTTTTTTATATTTAATATTATCTTTTGTTTATAATTTTATTATAATTCTATAGAGAGTAGAGTATAACACTATTTCAAAGTGATTTTATTAAAATTTTAGTTTAAATATAAAAGAAGTTAAAGAGAAAATAATCAGTAAATAAAATAAAGTAAAGAAAAAGAAATGTACATAGTTAAATTATATTGAAATTGAATCCAAATAATCATGAGATGCGGCTGCAAACAGTCAACAACTCTTGTTGAAGTTGTATAAAGTTGTACAGTCGTGTGCAGTTGTTTATAGTTGTTTTAAGTATACGTGAAAACTAGATTCTTTTATTGAACTATATGAAAATCCATTTTATGTGTCTTTTTTTCAGAATTGTTAATACAAATATATTTATTAAGTCATAAAAACTTTTAAATAAAGGTTATCCACACGAAATTCTCTAGAATCCTTCAGATGGTGGGAGACTAGGTGTCTCATCTTGAGCATTATTTGATTGAAGCAGAGTTACAGATTGCTGTTCTCAAGAGGGCTTTTCTCTATATGTAGGCCAGGAAAGGAGTGAGGATATGTGTGGCTACTGGAGGTCAACGGGTGTAATAAAGCTTGGGCAATGATGGTACTCTCTTTAGGCTTTCACGACTTTCACGACGAAATTTTGAGGTTATGTAAAAAAATGCAAATACATAAGTTTTTGATCGTTTTATTACCTACAACTTTGCTATATATTTTTTTTTCGTAGAACTTTTAGTTTTGCCGGAAATCGAGAAAACCCATTTTTTACCCTTAAATACCCACCCCCGTACCCTTCCCGACCTCAGATCGCCCGTAAATTATTTTTCCTTTAATTTTTATAATATTCCCCTCCTTTTCAAATGAGTTTCATTCTACTATAATGTATTTTCACTTTTCATTAATTTTAAATGCTTCTGCACTGGCCTATTATAAATAAGGAGAAATATAAAGTGTAATGTACTGAAATGTTTTAATAATCGGATTATTGCGGATTAAAGAAGCGTTTTGATTCAGTTTATTGAGAAGCGACATACAAGATATACCTGCGATAATATTTACCATCATAAGAAAATATATTATGTGTTTTCTATTAAATACCGTTTTATATTGATAATCAAACCCTGGCTCGTAACAATATTATAGCATAACCACGGCGAATTTCCGTTTATAGGTCAAGGAGAAATAGGATCTAAATTATTGAAAAGCAATAACGTGTGTAGACTTTAAGTCAAAGTAATAAAATTCAATTTTGTTTGAAATTAAACGAAGGTGATACTCTTTATATCTATCCTTCGATTATGAACAAAAGACAGTCGCAACTCATCAATTAAATTGTTAGAGTTATCTACTTTTGTTTTACAAATGTTATATACAAACAACTACATAAAGATTGTAAAAAAAGTAGGTATTTTTACTTAAATTATAAAAAAAGCAAGTAAAATATAATTAATAATAATATATTTCTGAGAGTTACGCACTCACTGCTACAAATCATACTACGTTTCAAGGTTACAACTACGCTACGCCATCATATGACAACACAAAATTTAAAACAGCGCCATCTATTGTTGAAACAAGTAAAGCGTAAGAGGCTTTGGTCCTGTGTCCTGAAAAGTTTTATACATATTGTAACCTTTCCCTCAGAGATGGCGCTAAATTCTTATGTTTATTTATTATTATATTTGACGTTCGCACATTTAAATATATATTTTTTAATCAACTGAGGCATAAAGTTTGAAGGTATTATTAAAATACAATGTGTTTAATAATAAATATGAAAGTTGTTAGTAGGTTTTGTAACATGAGGAACTTTTATTATGAAACAATAAACTTTCTATGAGTATAAAATACAAGAATAAAATGTACATTTTAACCAAGTCAGAAGAAGTAAAATCGCTTTGGATGAAACCCACCTTTTTGTTGGCATATTCGAGTATATTTTACAAAGACTGTTATATTCGGTTGTCGTTTGTTTCTTTGGGTTCGAATTTGAATAGTTTATTCGAATTTTAGAGAACAATTTCGTTAGAGACTTAAAACATATGTTGCCATATAAATTTTGTCAACAATTAAGATGATTTATCTACAGTAAAACTTTTTGACGTCTATAAAATCAATCAATGAAAAGTAAAAATGAAATTAAGGAAAAATCATTATCGGGTTATCTTTAGAATTCTGTTTTACAAATTTTTTTGTTACTACATATTTGTTTTCAAAATTCGAGAGTTTAACAATATTTTAAAAGCTTTCTTTTTTGCTATTGAAGTATTAAATATATTTTTACACAATACTTAAAAGTTAAGATTCATTTTGTTATGGATCAAGTTTGTTAGAGCTTATGGTTTATGTGAATTTAGTTTAAGAAATAAAAGTAAGATAAAATGTGTTTGTCTGGAAATAAATTATCATTAAAACCAACATTATGCAAAACCTTCTTGGTCTATAACTCCATATTCAACAGCAAAGTAAACGCGTCTCAATCGATTATGAAATGTAAATATTCAGGATGCGTTGTGAAGTTCGCTCTGAAATTGTTTACCTCTTGCATTCTGTGCATAAGCATTTATACTATACTAGCTGACTCGGCAATTTTGTTTTACTATATAAAAAAATAGGAGTTGGTGATTTAAAAAGTAAAAATTTTGAGTTGTATGTGTTTTTAATGCTACCTTATAAAAAATAAAAACAAAATATTTCGTCCGAAAATAAATAAAAATAAAGGGTTAACAACCCTTATGAGTTAGGAGTATGAAAAGTTGATATATTTATAAATAAGATAATTATTGTTTTTTATTCCCATTGTATTCTTTTCAACCAGTATGTTTTTTTCTTATATGTTTTTTATCCAAGGAGTACGAATTCTAAAAATATTATTATAATACTTACAAAAATATATGAATGTAAACACAATATCCTCGCATGATTTTAATTTAAGTGCCAATGTCCCTAATATAGCACGAGGCTGGTATAATGAGAAACTTAAAACAAATTTCTAATTGTATTATACAATAAATACTTTTTACAAACAATAAGAATGGGCGTTAATAAAAAAATCTATACAAATTTCGATTGTGTTAATCAATACGACTTAGAGAATAATTATTTAAATAATTGTATGTCCAAGCTACATAGTTATTTTTTTATCTAGATAAGGTTTTATTTTTAAGGTTTTTCAATAAGTGGAAATATCTGAATTAGGTTACCGAAAGGTTTAAAATCAGCCCAATGACCGAAGGAAAAGTATTTTAAAATAAATATCTTTTTATACATAATTTTTTTGGGGTATTTCTTTTTGCATTTTGCAAGTCCAATAAAACGTATTTGTGTAACAAAATATTTTCGTCCTTCAAATCTCAATGGCTTTATTTTTTTTGTTTATTCGACGTATCTTTTCATTTAAATCATATAAAGAGTAGATTAAATTTATTTTTAAACAAAAGTCTAAGTTACTTAATTTCACGTCAATAAAACTGTATTATTGTTAAAGTAACTTACCAATAAAGTTAGAATCTAGCATATTTAATTATTTCTTTATTTTTTATTATTAATTTCTTTATTATTAATATTATTTGTAATATTCTGTTCGTTCCTAGCGGTTTTCTGAGTAAATCGAATTGTCTGAACCACTCCGTTACTTAATTTGCCGCAACCGAAGCGTGTTCTTGCATTTTTAATGAACTCAGTAAAATATGATACATCTTACAAGTTTATAGCTATATAATTTTAATATAAATACTATTTCATATATTTTCAAGTTCAAATTGAATCTACAGCTGTACTCTGGAGACCTGGAACTGCTGTTAATAGAATTACGCATGATATATTGTGTTAGAACGAAATACATATAATATTTAGAGCTCGCCTTTGATTTCATTAAATCCATCCTTGTTATTATCTTACGTCATTTGTTTCTGTGTTATATTTCTTATACAGTAGACGTTTCTATCCAGGCAGACCCTGGCTAAAGCTGGGAAATCGCCAGGTAGAAAAAGTAGACGTTTCTTTCCGAAGTTATTATTTTGTCAGTTAAATTGATATCTTTGTAAAACGTATGCTATAAAATATGGTTGGGTTTTATTTTCTTTACTTTTAGTTTATTTTAGTTTTAATCTTATTCTATAATTACTTATGATAGATATATTTATATTTAAAAGTAACGGGTGTTGTTATTTTAAATCACAAAATAGGTCCTTCATAAGAGCGACCTTCGTCAAATGTTAGATTTAGACCTTCGCGTGGGCAGAGTATATTGTGTGGAGCCGGATAATGTCTTCCTTAGGGATAATATTCAAGGATATATTCATTCTTATATACATTTTTAAAACAACCTCATATAAGAAGTGATAAATGTATACACATTCATATAATTTGGTTACACGAACTTAAAACGTTTGATATTCTTCTCGCAAGCAAAAATAGTTATTACAAATTTGATTTTAACTTACATTTTGTGCTACATCCATAGGTGCAAGCTGCGGTGGATCCTGTCTCTTTGGTTTTTTAAATATGAACAATAGAAGAGCTATTAGGAAGACTGTTCCAGCGCCAACGATTGCTCCCAAGGCAGCGCTCCATGCGTTAGATTGAGCAGACCACGTTCCATCCATCGAAGTCCGAGCTTGAGGAGGCAGAACTTTATTTGGTTGAGCCTCCCCATGAACTTGCTTAGCTGTTTCCATCATCCAATCACCCCGATACTCCCCTACATCGTACTCGTAAGGCGCCCCATCGTGTCGACGCTCTGCCCACAGCTTATCTGATAACAAAATTAGTTAGAATAATGTAACATCGATCCGTACTTACAAACTGCGACGTAAATCTAGCACGATGTTTTTACATCACTGACAATTAAGCACGGAATCGTAAATATACAGACTTAAAGGTGAAGGTTATAGAAAATCGCCGGCGAAACGAAACCCATCACATTATACAGCTCGTGATATTATAAATTCAGTATAGATATGACGCAAGCGGAATTAAGTGTAAAGGATTTCAGTGAAAACACTCATTAATTAACTATTAAAGAGTGTATAAGTTGTTAATCAAGTTATCGTTTAGTATAACTTAAATAGCTGTAAAATACTAGCCATATGTTGGTTAATATTACATAGAAAACGTATCTAATACTCACCCATGATAGTTGTATGTATGTATGTCTGTGAGACGTTCCCGACACGTGTGTAAGGCAGGCGGGCGAACGCGACTCTGAGGCGAGCGGCTCGTATTATCATTATTCTTGTTTAGTTGTTTACTTCGACTCGTGATCTGTTGCGAGCTTCATTGCGACGTTATAGAATACAATTCTCTTCGTTACAGCAAAAGATTTGCTAAGTGCTAGTAAAAGCTATATCCTAGCTCATAAAGGTTCAGCTATGTAACTTCTATGTATATTGAACATTTTTCTCGTGTAATATCTCGTTGAACAAGTAAAGCATATTTGATTTCATCGTTCCAAGTAAGAATCAGATTTCAAGGGTATTAAAGATATTTATTTAGAATAATTCCAATATAATACTGTCAAGGCACGATTTTTATTGAGTTTTGTTTTAAATTAAATTAAGATTATTTTATTATTAAATTGTATATAATCATAGGTCACATTATAATTATAAATCAAGCTTAAAAACTATATAAAAAATTGTTTTCATTTTCGTGAAGTCTCGTAAATGTAATTAAGTATACTTAGTTTATTTTGTTTCTTTAACTAAATATAGTGCTCTATAAAGTTTAATGGATTTTATAGATATAAAAATTTTGCAGCTTTTTCATAGGAAATTTGAGAAGCAGAGTTACTTGAGTCAAGTTATATATTGTATTATATTAAATAATTATTTTCCTTATGAACATTGATGTATAAAATTAAGATGCTTAATGGAAACAAAGTGCTGGGCTGATGATATTTTAATGAAAATTAAGTGGCGAAATAACTTTAGTTACATTATTTATAAAAGGTTATTATTGTCTTTAAATAGAAATATAAAAAAATCAATGTTTTTATATGTCATAATCTAAGTATTAAAATTCGTAAACAATTGTAAAACTCAAATCCACCATTTTGCTTCTTTCAGAGACATTTATGATGCCAAGAATCTAAATGCATACTTTTTAAGTTAATTTGTTTTTAATATTTAAGCAACTACGTACACAGGTAAGTACAAACATATGTAATAACATAATTCCATTTAAAGTTTATTTAATCGTTTATTGTATGATAATCTACAAATTTATTTCCTATATTAGGAAAAGCTTAGTCACCAAAAATGATTTCAAAAAATCAAACCGTAGACCTCAAGACAATATATAATTACATAAATATACGTAGGTAAATATGTTATAAAATAAAATTGTTATACCTAATAGGTACATATGTGTACATTTACGTAATGTGTTTACAATGCGAGGCGATGAATATGTAAGCCATAATGTCAATGGGAAATAGACCTAATGAAATAAACTGCGAGGATATAGATGAAATTCTTAATCAGATTATGTCTCTCATTATTGTTTAAAGTAGTTAAATAGTGAAAAACTAAATTAAATACTTTATTAAGGACTCGATAAACTTAAATTTAATACTGTTTTTTAATGGATTAAAACATTATTTATTATTAAGTACCTTTATATTATTCATCATTTTGTTCATAATAATAAAAAAATATGTCGATGTTTTACAATGTCTCAATTTTCAAGCATCTTAGAAGTAGGACTAGCTTGTTTGTCGGTAAAAATTCTTAACTTATTCTCCATAGATTTTTTAAATTCTGTTTCTGTCACTTCATATAATAATGATTTTAGAGTTTGATATCCAATTAAGAACATGGAATCCATCTATTGTGGTTGGAAATCACATCAAAATTTGGAAACATTTTGTTAACAGCGCCATCTCTACGACAACTCGTGAATTACATTGATTCTCACAGTTATAAGGTTTCCACCAAAGAAAAATAGATGGCAGTGTTATGAAAAGAAAAGTATTATTTCTTTGGGAAAACAAATGAAACATTATGATAAGCAATGTGTTTTATTTAGTAGTATTTTTTAAATTTCACATATAAATAGAGCTGTGGTTGAGATCAGATTTTTTTTTGACTTTCCATAACATTTACAAAATACAAAACAGGATAAAAATTGTGTAGTAGTCGCTACAAATAATCACATAATTATATTAAATAATTTATTTCAATAACAGCTTTCTTTCTTAAGCCTATACATTATTTACAATATGATAAAATTATATTGGTAACAAATTTGTTCTAAGATTTCTGTATGTTCTTGTTGAATGGGTACTGTTGTTTGTATCTCTGTATTCCTAATGTAACAAATACTGAAAAATAAAATAAAAGTTGATTAATTTTTTTGTTATTCAAATATCTTATATATATAAAATATGTTTACATATGTTCGGCAGTAAAAGTAAATTTAACATTGAAATTTATACGTGCTAGAATGCTTCAGAATATTTTTACATTTTGTACAACCGCTGGTTGAAAATATTCTATTACAAAACTTTAGGTTTGAATGAAATTTATTAATACTGGTTGTAGATCATTTGAATTATAGTTGAAGAATTGCCAACAAAAGAAAAGGAAATACTTTATATGTTAACATTAGACTCGTCAAAGTCAATTGTATACATGTTTAGAAGGTTAATTGATTACATAAAAATGTTTAAATTACTGAATACAGATGAATTACACATATAATACTCATTTAGGAGTTCAATAAGTAATAGTTACCGAAGGATATAGTGGAAACTAAAACTTTTCCTGGTGTAGTTTTATTTTTAAATGCAGCGTTAGCGAGGTAAGCTCCAATACTGACTAGGCCGATTGACCCAACGATCCTGCATGGCGTACAGTCCGGATTACGTTTTTCTGCCCCTGTCTCCATTTTGAAAGATTTTCTCTTTAACCATATATTATAGAGATATCAACAAAACATTTATAATGTGGAATTACTTTGAAAAGCTTTAACCCAAACATCTGTCAAAACTGACTTTGTTGTCAAATGTCAAGTGATGAAAACCATAGAGTCTATGGCATAGACAAAACACAATGATTAACAAAAATAAACTATTTATAAAATAACAAAAACGTGAAATATTGTAATGCATCTTGATTTTTATAAAATAAATTATTTATTTTCTCTGTAAAATTAGAAAAATGATTAATTATTGATGAAGGTTTTTTTGTAGTATAACATAATACATTAATTTAAATTTAAAATAATACTTTGTAAATTAAATATATCGAAGTAGGAATATAAGGAAAAGACTTCATTAAAGCGACCGAGGCAAATATGCCGTCGCTGGTGGATGCTAAAAGTCCACTTATATCAGTAGGCATATAGTGTTCCCTGATATTTGGAGTGATTAGAGATATGAAGGATAATAATTTACGATTTTCATGTTTATCTACAATCTGTACGATTGTTTTTGAAATATATTTCGTACAAGCAGAGAGAAATACGGTTTGACAATTGGATATCTCAACCACAATTGCTTTAAAAATTATCGTTTTCATTTTTCAATATTAATCTAACATTAGAAATTTAATTCAACAACCACAAGTTCAATGCTTAAAATCTGAAAACTCTTTCGAAATAAATGCACATAATTTGAATAAAACGAGCTTTTATTTGTTAACTAAAGTGAAGTGTTGGATATTTTAACTGATATACGTTATCACTGCCAAAATAATTAATTGGTATGCAATTGACTATAAAGATCATTGGGTGACGAACAAAATTGATAATTTTAACAAATATCGGACTGCCTATTGATCCCGTTATCAATGTATGTAGATTGACATTATCGCGAGAGCATATAAATATTAAACACTAGTGTTATGCACGTGGCTTCTCCTGTACTAATTATTGTTAGACATTTATCAAGTTATATACTAAATTTTACTGAAATCAATACAGTTTGTTTCAACATACAAACATATATATACACATATATACAGGGTGACTGGTGAATTACTATCAATATTTAAAGAGCATATTCGGTACATGATTCTCATTCGAATTATGTAAAAAAAATAGGTACTTAATTTTTGACCAAATTTCCGTATAAATAAATAAAGTGTGTACACGTTCCAAGTGTTCCTAGTGTGGACGCGTGCGGCGGCGTGCTGATACAACAACACGCCGCCGCGCGCGTATGTGTGAGTGTGTAGTGTAGAGTAATCTGTAGGGTGTTCATACGATGCGTAATTAATTACACAACTTTTGGTTAACTTTACTTAGAAGTTTATTAATATTTATGTTATATTAATTTTTATTTCGTCATATATGATCGTCAAATATCACGTCCTCAAATATCGATAGTAATTCACCAGTCACCCTGTATATATATATATATATATATATATTGTTTAGTATTTACTTTCAAATGAATCGTTGTTATAAGAACAATAAGAAAAGGAGATAATATATTTTGTCAACATTTTAAAGATATAACGTCAAAAAGTATTTTTTAATTATAGAAAGTTAAATTGACAAAACGTTGAGCAATTCCAGTGCGAAAGAATCCACAGCATAAAAAAGATGCAGAAAAATCTTGTAGTATTTTTAAATTTAAAAAATTGTGAACGTTTTGGGATCTTAATGTGGGCATTTTTTGATTTTTTAAGTACTCGTTTTTCTTCCCTCTTATAGACTTTTATGTACCTTTAAAGCATCGTTCTTAAATAAGGAATTTGCTGGTTTATCATTGATTCATTTTACAAACATATATTTTAAAAGATTGAAGACTTACATTCTTACTTACATTATTTATCTTTCTAAACAATTTCTATATTACAATTTTTTTAAACTGCAATAAAATAAAAACAAAATACTCTATACCATATCAACATCTCATAATCGTTTTAAAACCATAATATCTTAATTTATAAACTTCGTGCTTCGTGTATCCAAAAAATATATATACAGGGTTAACTTTACTTAGAAGCTTATTAATATTTATGTTATATTAATTTTTATTTCGTCATATATGATCGTCAAATATCACGTCCTCAAATATCGATAGTAATTCACCAGTCACCCTGTATATGTATTGGCACATATACATATATTTTTATTTCTAACAGCAAATCGAAGCAAACCTGAACCTAAGCTCATGTACTTTATTGTGTCTTCAAGGGCTCTTGCCTTTCTTAGAATTAATTTACACACTCTCACACACGGTTTTCAAGACCTCTCTTGACCCATATAACACAGTGATTAAGATTTTCCCACAGATACAGAGATGAGAAGGCTTATCAGGCGTGGAAAGCTCTCAGGAGTTTTATAAATATATTAAAAATTAGTTTTTTTACGTTATTAGACTGTACATATGAAAAATGTTTCTTTAAAGATAATCAAGATACAATTTAAATGACATTCATTGTGAATGCAGATAACATTTTTAAAGTTGCTATTAATGTGTTTTTAATATTTAAGTCAAATCATTCTTTAATTTTAATCATTTAAATTCGTAATATATGTATACATCTCATGAATTACTATTATATCCTAAGGCCGATACATAGGTTTTTTTTATAGGATTGTCCGGTTTTCTGTTCATTTTATAGTATATACAAGAAAGTCAATAAAATATATTAACAGACAAACCCGCTGACGACAGCTAGTCATTGACTGAATTAGAAGTCATTAAGTTGTTTCCATATATTTCCTTGCTTTTATATAGCCTCTACTTATTTAATCAAACCTCATACAAAAACTGCAAGTATCACCAAAGTGCTAATACTATTTACAGTTAACTCGGTTCTTGGGGACGGCCCGACAATGACGATACGGACTTGCGATAAATATGAAGCCGATTCATAAACAAAAATATGTTATACATATGTTTTATATCCATTTAAATGTCGGGGAAAAACATGATCCAGGAAAATAACATTCATATTGATTAATAGGTTCAAATATGTATATACATACTCGCGAGTGACCAAAATAGTTGAAATATAGAAATTTTTCTTCATTAAGTAAGTTTTATCCATAACTACATGGCTTTCCGCCCGCAGCTTCGCCAGCGTGGAGTTCGATTATATCGCTTTTCCAAGAGAACTTTTCAAAAGTCTGGTATAAAAACTATCCTATGTTCTTTCTCAAGGTCAACTCTATCACTGTACCAAATTTCATTAAAATCAGTTCAGTGGTTTCGGCGTGAAAGCGTAAAAGACAGACAGACAGACAGACAGAGATACTTTCGCTTTACATTACGCTTTACATTTATAATAGCAGTAGGGATAATTATATTGATGCGTTTATTAAATTCTAACCATATAATAATTCGTCTAAAATACCTCCTTAATTCAAGTATTTTAAATATTAAGGAAGTTATTATGGAAAGCGAGCTTGTCGGAGCGGGGTTCAGTTTTATACATTAACTAACCATGAATATTCTATATCAAGAGCCACTCATTTGCCGCCAGGTGACTTGTAAGAGCTTGTGTAAAATGAAGATATTGTTTGTTCTAGCTACTGTTTTATTAAAATCTATTTGAAATATTGTTACTTGTATATATTGAGTTGTTATTTTAACACGTAGCACCCATACAGTTGTGAGTGCCAAAACAATGTTTAAAGTCTAGTTAAATTTAAAAAATCGTTGCTCAATTTGACTTATACTCAGACTCGTTATTATTATGAATCAAATATTTTAAATAACTAATTAATTAACACACAAAATACATATATAATACAGTCAAATTGAGAAGCAATATGGTTTAAGTCAAAAGTAATCAACACTCAATATATGCACTAAGTTTTAATAATAAAAAGAGCAATTATTTGTCACCTTTTTTTTTATTTAATTTATGCATTTTTTTCGAAGGCTAGGTTATCAACGGTCGCGAGGAGTACAGATTATCTCAAGAACGTAGTGACTTATTGTGTTATATAATGGTCTAGTCAATTAAAAGATACAGTCAATTTAAAATTCTATATAAAGCTATTAAAGTACATATAAAATAGTGACATCAGCTGTGTAATGTACAAGTAATGTACCTATACATGAATTCGTACACAGGGCGACGTAAGTATTGCCAACGTAACTCTTAAACGGCAGTCTCTTAATGACTGTAGCGTACGACAGACGACTGTCCGGGAATGTAAACAAGACGATGTTTACAAATACAGTTTGTAAAGCGAAAGTAATAAAAACTCATTTGTAGGATTGACTCATACGTGATTTTTAAATAGTTTCAATTTATTTGTGGTCTGGTTGGTTGGTCTGAAGATGTAAAGTTGGTTTAAGGTAAGTTTTATTTCTTTTTTTGTTTTGAGGACGTTATATTAATTACAAAATAAATTTATAACTAGTAGAATAACAGAGAAATTCTCATTGTAATGTTTAAAATTATATATATTTTTTTGTAAACAACTAACTTTATAACAATACATAAAAGTAAAAAACATGTAGGTAGTAATAACTATTTTTGTAGTTTTATTAGAAAATAAATACTTTACATAGAAACTATACGATTTTAGAGGTTTGACGATTAGAGAAGAATTAATGGAGCAATTGAGCCAAGATTATACTGGCAAAAAATATAATTATATGTTATATTGTCTCTGTCTCAGTGTTCAATAAAAAATACCTCATACAACTACGATTAATATATACATAAGTAAAGTAAATATGTACTATGAGACATTTTATATATTTAAGATTAATTGATGTAATACTATGATTATAGTAGAGGAGTGGAGTGTCTTATTTTAGGCTCTAATATATATATTATGAAAAGAGAAACAAATAAATTGTAACCAAAACTACTCTATTTAAATTTTCTCAGTTAAAAATTGTTTTACTTTTTTATTTACTTTACATATATTCCAGCTTATAATATTTTTCTTACAGTACCTGTATCGTATAAAAA